GCGTTTTGCGGCAGGCTCATGTGTGGGCATGTCGCTAAATCACATTTGCGCTGACTTGAATAGGATAGTCCATGGTGAAGCTTTTCCCTCTCCCGAGGAGTTTGCAAAGCTTTGTGATCGGGCTTTGGATTTTCTTGGCAGTGCCCGTCCAAGGGAGGTGAAGGTGTCAGATCGAAAGGAGGTGGTTCACATCTTCACGGATGGGTCTCTTGAAGGCGACTTCGCTGGCATAGGGGCCGTGATGATTGATTCGGCCGACGGCTTCACGCGTGTGTTGCAAGGCGAGCTCCCGCCTGAGCTCAGGAACGCATGGCGAAACGAGGCCAGCGAACACTTGATCTGCCAGGTCGAGTTATATGCGATTTTCTGTGCAAAGCTTGTTTTCCGGGAACGGCTGGAGGGCAGGCGAGTCGTCTATTGGATAGACAATGAGCCTGCACGTCTGGCCCTTGTGAAGGGCGTGAGCAAATCTTGCATTATGGATCGCATGCTTCGCGAGCTGTGTAGGCTTGAAGACAACATGATCTCCTACGCGTGGTACGCTCGAGTACCGTCGAAGTCGAACATCGCCGACGGACCTTCAAGGGGCAAAGGCGATGATGTGGCCAGAGCGTTGGGCCTGGTCAGTGCAGAGACGTTCCCTGGATGCATTCCATGGCAGCACTTGTTATGGGGGCAATCGGGTGCTGACACATAGCGGATTCTCTTACCGCAAACCGCTTTGTGGAAACTCTACCACACGTGTTATGCACCGAAGTTGTCGGTGCGAAAACCCTTTTCGAACAGCCCCTTTCGAGTGCTCGGAAGAAAAGAGATCGCGACTTCAGTTGTGCGAATATATTCGGGAGCATTTTTGATAACTGGCTCCAATACTTATTATATTCTCGGGCATTCTTTATATTGAGCCCGGATACTGTTTCACGAATCTTTATGCAATATACGGTTCTGGAGTTTTGTGGAAAAAAAACTACTGGGACCCTTGATTGCACCCTTGACTGCCTAGGGGTCCACAAAAAGCTCCGAGGGCCTTGCGATGGGAAGTTTCATGCGGATCTCTGGGAGCAGATCAAGACAGAGGCCCCCCGTCGATTGAAGTCAACGTGGGTGAACTCCCATCTGGGTCTGATGCTTTCGCGGCGAAGTTTGGTCAACATCAGCTATGGAGGAGGTTCACCAATGAAGTCGCCGATCAGAGATGCAGTAGCTTTGCTGCCAAGCTTGCAGATCACAGTTTCGCAAGGCGTTTGCATGACGAGGATGCCGCTTTCAGTCGCACTCTTCAGCTCCTTAGTGGCCGTGCTGCAAAAGTTTTGAGCGCAACGGGAGATGAGCATCCTTGTGTCAAAGCTTACAAAGATGTAAAGAAGGCCCGTGCGCAGCAGCATCCGAGCGGTGAGAATTTGTATACTCGCCGTAGAGTAGGTGCCAACGTAGGTCATGGACATACCCAAACTCAGCAGGAGTGGTTCTCGACCTTGGTGCAGTGTGAAGCTGTTGCCGGAAATCACGAGTGGGAGTGGCAGGACCTTGATTTGGTTTGCAAGAGATGCAGCTTAAGACTTCTGCATTCCAAAAACCGAAAAGTCCTCATCGCTAGAGCTGCGACTCCTTGTGGCGCAGACGGACCGGCGAGGTTCGAAGGAGTGCATGAGTCACATAACTTGGTCTTGACAGGACAGCTATGGAAATGCTCGCAGTGCGGTGGGCAGTACTCTGTCACGAACAATGGCATCACTGCCAAGTTAAGAGCTAAGTGCACACGCAGAAAGGACAAGCGCTGCGTGGTCAAGTAACCTTGTGACCTAGTGGTTACAGGGCTAGAGTCGCATCAGAGTGGGCTGCAAAGCGGCCAGCGCTGGATTCGCCCTGTGGGTAAAAGTCCGCGAAAAAAAAATTCAAACCTGGGTTCCCGGGGTTGTTGTTGTTGTTCCCCCCCCCAGGGGGGAGGGAACCCAGGTTCAAACCCAGGTTCAAACCTGGGTTAAACCCGGGGGGAGGGGGGGACCAGCCTCCCAGTGAAACAGGCTAGCACCAAAACAAGTTTCTTGCAGTCCGACATTGCATATTGCATTACGCTGTACACTTTGGGCGGCAGCACTGTCTGCCTTGGGCCTAAATCAGGAAGAAATTTGAAGCAGCTCAGCACATCATGTCAAACGAACCAAACAGAACTCTCGAATTGACGCCCAAATCGCCCGTTCATTTCTTTCAGCTCCTATGCGTGCCCGCTGTTAGAGGCCCAAAATCGAGAATATCACGGCCCGCTTCCCTCTCCACATGTGCGGCCGGAGGCAGCTGACTTGAAAGCCCTGGGCCGGGACAGGAACGTGCAGCTTAAAATCATAGTGATAAAAGCGTGTAACAGCTTCTCTGACACAACACGCACCTACGGTCGAACTCCTCTAACAAGGATGAAACCTTTATTTCCAAAAGCAAATTTCGTTTGAACGAAATTAGTGAAAACTTTTACTTTGAAATTTTTCCTGCTGTTCGGCATGACTCTTCTTTTTGAGTGCATGACGATCATAGCCTGAGGTGTTGTACGATGTCTTTGTTGCCGTGCATGCATCCTCAAGCTTTTCGAGCAGGAAAATTTTTGTGAGCCTTGAGATCCTTCTGCTGTGGTGCCGTACACCGTTGCCAGGGTTCCCCCGACGGAATAGTGGCTTGAGGGCTTGCTCTCGCTGAAAGGGGAGTGAGCACTGGTAGGTGTGGCAGGCCACCCGGCAGACACGTGTAGGATCTTGCTAAAAGGCCCAAGGTGCTAACCCGGTGCTTCTAGTTAGTGGGGCGGGGCGTCGCATGGATACGAGGACACTCTTGATGTGAACGCTGGTCTACGGCCCCTGCCGTGAAACTCCTTGCTGCGTCGTGTGGTCGCTATGGGGGCAAACAAGCCCGACTTCGCAGAGGAGGTTCGCTCAGCCTGGAATTCCTTGCGTCCTCAAGAGCCCGAAGACCCCTTGAGTGCTTTGCTGCCATCCTGTGACTTGTTCAAAGATTTCAGTGCTTCAGCCCTTTGCAGACCCGCTGCTACAGATCGCCCGGTGGATGTGGAACTTCGTAAGATTCTGCAGCCGAGCCTTGCTGGCAGGAGGTTATACCTGCAATGTGTGCAAAACATTGAGGTTTTGTCTTGGAAGGAAGCTTTGGATTGTCAAACACAGAAAGCTATCAAGAGGTGGTATAATTTGGTCTTGCTTTGGAAGTCGGAGCTTCTGGTGGTAAAGCAAGTCTCCAGTGCCACTGTGGTGGAAGGCATGGACATCTTGGCTGATTACTTGAGACCAAAGGCTCCTAGTACTTTGAACAAGAGGGCCTCGTCTCTTTTCTTGCTTGACAAGTTGCTCTCGGAGGAAGGGCTCCTTTTCCCTCCTGACGAGCAGCATTTGTATGATGCCTTGTGCAAGCTACGTGCCAAAGGTAAAGCCCAGTCCGGACGGAAGGGCATCCTTGAAGCTTTGAACTTTTGCTACTTCGTCTTGAACATTGAAGAGTGCGAGGAGCTGGTTTTTAGCAGAAGGTGCCAAGGAGTGTGCTATGTTGAGCCGCGTGCGCGGGTCAACCAAGCTTCGCCTTTCTCCTTAGAGGAAGTTTTGGAGTTGCATGGGATAGTACACCAGGCTTCTGACGACTGGGATGCAGTCTTTGCTGGAGCAGTGTTGACCGCCATTTACTTGAGGTCACGATGGGCTGATTTGCAGTGCTGTGAGGACTTACAATTGGACCGCGATGCCGTGGGTCGATTGTGTTACATCGATCTGATCACCGGGCATCACAAGTCAATGCAGTCGAGGCAGCATCGACACCAGTTCTTGACTATGACCGGGCCGTGCGTTGGGGTCACATCGAACCAATGGGTTGAACGTTGGCTTTGCCGGTGCGAGGCCGTGGGTTTCAAGCCTTGCACAGGTGGATGGCCAGTTATGCCCGCGCCTGATGTTACGGGACGGCCGACGGTGCGTCCGCTCTCGTCAGGTGAGATGACAGCTTGGATCAGGAAACTCCTTCCGGGCGCGGCGGAGGCCGACAGAAAGCTGTCCAGCCATTCTGCGAAGTGCACGTTGCTTTCTTGGATGGCGAAATTCGGAGCATCCCAAGATGTCAGGGCGTGTTTGGGATACCATGTGGGGACCAGCAAGACTGTTTTCCGCTACAGCCGAGACGCGGCCGCAGGTCCGCTTTATGAGCTAGGCCGGATGCTGCAGTGGGTGAGGGATGGCCGCTTCCATCCCGACAACACCCGTTCGGGGAGGTTTACATCTGCAGAAGAGCTTGAGCAGGCTTGGTGGGACCAGGTGAGGGATTTGCCTCCCTCGAGTGAGGGGAGGAATCGCGATCTGGAAATCTCGCTACCTGAAGACATGCAACCTCAAGCAGATGATTTACATAGTCTCGTCGAAGGATTGGGCTTCGACCACGACGACCCCGAGGAGCGACTTTCTTTGTCTGGGGGCATTGGCGACCCCTTGGCAGGATTGGACGATGAAGAGGCACGGGATGCCGCTAATGAAGATCCTGACTCTTCGGCAGAAGGGGCCTCTAGTTCTTCAGAGAGCGATGGGAGTGGAGCGGGCCCCAGACCACCGCGGCTGTTGCACCCTCCTTCAGCACCTGAGGGAACCAGTTTCGTCAGGCATGCAAAGTCCAGGATCTGTCACTTGAAAAAGGATGGATATGTGCGGCGACTGATGTGTGGAAGGCCGCTCTCGCAAGCATATGTTGCCCCGGGCCTAATGAGGTATGATACGGGAGTGTGTAGCCAGTGTATGAGGTCGGCAGCTGCTGGCAACTGAGAAAATCGATTCTCTGTCTAGTGAGCTGTACTGCTTCGTTTGAGCTGAGGGCGCCGAGGGAATTCACTTGGTGAGTTGTCGTGAGCGTGCTTGCGGTTCAACTTGAAGCTTTTGTGATCTCATGTTGGTAGGCACTCGCAGTCTGATTATCACATGAGGGCATTGCACCTTTTGTTTGCGGTATCTGCTCAGTTTCTCCGCGCGATGGCTTTAATTGACAGTGAGGCTTCGCTCAAACAAAGGTGCCTGCCCGTGGAGGGGGATGACTCCCTTTTCGAGTCTCTAAAGGCCAATGGAGTGAAGACGCTGCGTCAGTTGGCATTTGCACTGGGGAGCCCACAAACTCCACCGTCCGATGATTCTCTGAAGGACCTTGCGGCTAAGGTTTACAAGTGTGCCGAGGGTACTCAGCCTACGATCGGACAAATTGCAAATGTTCGCATGCTTATCTTCGAGGCCTCTACACTTGTAGTGGCACAGTTGCGAGCACAGGCGACGGCGGATGATTCCGATCTTGCAGGTCGCAAGCTGCCGCATGTTGAAAAGCAAGCGCGTTTGACCTCGCAGAAGGCCCGACTTCCCGGGCTGCTGATAGAGGGAGAGCTGCAGCCCAGCTACGCGCTGGTAGATGCTTGTGCCCTGATGTCAGAGTCGAACAGCATTACTTGGATCAGCCCCTCGCGTTGCACTAAGCGTGATGCTGAGGTGCAACAGCTAGGGAAAGAGAAAACCTCTTTGGTACAAATTGAGGCAGGCACCTTGAAGGTCAGTTCGAGCAGCAAGTTGCCTGATGCTGATACAACCACTGCCTTGCAGCTTCTGTATTGCTTCCAGAGGCGAGGGTTGGCGTTGGATCAGTGCAGCCTCATCGGCTGGTCGGACCATGAGTGGTACGTACAGAGCCTTATGTCCTATCTTCATGGAGAGCCGGTGTCAGGAGCCAGGCCCGCGATCGCCCAGGTCATTCGGGCAGACCGGGAGGCTTGGACACTGATGAGCCGTGAGATCGAGGGACCAATTGGGGTGAAGGATGCGGCTGGCGAGCTGGTGATGGCGGCTGCTTTGAGGCGGTTGGCCAAAGACCCTCGCGTAGTCGTTCATCTTGTTACGGCTCCGCAGCCGCAGAAAGTCGCTCCACCGCCTTCCATCCCTACCGGCTCGGCTGCTGCTGCAGCCTTGGCTGAGAAGGATACCAAGAAGAAGAAGCGCAAGCGTCTTACCGGCCTTGTACCGGAGTCTTTGAAGGGATGTGTCACCAAGATCAAGGCCGGGCCCATTTGTTGGGCTTTTAACCTTGCCGAGGGGTGTTCGCTTGAAACCAAGAAGGATGCCCATGGAACAAAGTGTGCAAAGGGATACCATGTTTGCGCCGGATGCCACAAGCCTGGCCACAGCTTTCCAAACTGCCGGAAAGGAGGCTCGTGACAGGTTGAGGAGACTCCCGCTGCCTCGAGTGAAGCTTCGCGAGCCTCGAGTGATGTGGAGTCTCTCGCCGCGTCAATTTTGCAAACGCCTGCTCCTTTCGATAAATCTTCGCTGTCGCAGCTGATTGAGCTGCTGCCGATGCAAAGCCCCCCACGGGGGAGTGTTGGACGCTCCTTCGCTGCCGGGGCGTATGCAAAAGGGGGTCTGTATGGCCTTCACTCAAATACCAATCTTTTTCCAAATGTGTGCGCTGTCTTTGCAGCGCAAATCCGGAGTTTGGCTCCGGGCGAGTGCTTTACAAGCTTTGTTATTCTAGATGACTGTTCCGCCGAGGTGCATCGCGATTCCAACAATGACGACTCCCACTGCAACATCCTGCTGAAGTTGTCCGAGTTTCAGGGCGGGGCCGTTTGGGTAGAGGGTGATGGTGACATTGAGGTGACTGATCCAAAGGGACGTGTCTTGAAGGGTCATGAGTTGTCTTGGGAAAACAACAAAATCACTTTGGATGCGAGGAACTTGTATCATGCTACACTCCCCTGGACGGGGCGACGACTGGTGCTGGTAGGATACCACGTCAGGGACTTCCAAAGACTGCCGTGTGACGATCGCCAGAGGCTGATTGACATCGGCTTTCAGTGCCCATCGAAATCCGCGCCTTCCCCCCATAGGACCCTTGGGTTTAGTTCCCCCTCTTCGGGTGTTGTTAGCGCTGCCACTTCAAGTGCTGAGACCAGCTCTACCCTCGAAGTGCCCGCCAAGATGCCTGGAACAGGGTGTGGTTCTAGCCCAAATAGGCCCGTCGCTCCGCCCGTGCGGACGCCGATCAAGCGTGATCCTCAGGAGAGGTCCAGAAGCCCGGTGAATGCCGATTCTCAGGCAAATGTAGGCCATGTCGGGGACTACCTTTTCCTTGAAGTAAATGGTCGCACTGCCGATCTGCATCGTGCTGCCCGAGCTGCAGGCCTGCGACATATACTGTGCAGTGCGCCCCCATCTTTCGTGCATGGGGTCAGGTGTCTACCACTTGACTTGGGCCACGACTTGGAGAGCTTCCAAAAACTTGTCGCGGCCGAGAAAAAGCGACTCGCTCTTGTCTGGTGCGAGCTGCCGTCTCAACCGTGCTCCTCTTGGGCAGCAAATCTTTGCGCCTTGGGTGAGCTTGCCGCCAGTCTTGAAATTCCCTTTGTCATAGCGGGTTCTCCAAAATCGCAATTTTGGGATGATCCATTCGTCCTTCAGCTGATTCAAAGTTTCCCTTTGCAGTTGCACCGATGTGACCTGTGTTGTCATGGTGACGGCCGCCCTCGGCCTTACCAAATGGCCACTGCACAAGGGGATTGGTCAGCCTTGGCCCTCAAGTGCTCGGGCTTGCATGCACACGCACCGTGGGTGCCGCGAAAGACTGGAGATCCGCCTCCAGGTTTGCCCAGTCTTTTCTGTCAACGTGTCATCGCTAAGGCTAAGGCCAAAGCTGCCCTTCTCCAGTCAGGAGTTCGTGAGTTTGGCACGGTTTCTCAAACTCGAGAGTCCGATTCAACCTTCGATGGCAGGTTGGCGTTGAACGCCTTGCCGCGCGGCCGACGCAACCCTGCTTTAGTGCAAGAGTTTGTATCCTTCAAGTTCGTGGCTGTGCCTGCTGACCCGCCGTCGGCCGATGAATCTTTGCTTGCTGGACTGCCTAAAGGAGCTCGGGTCTTGTCTCGCCTGACCTTTGACGGGGGCTACGAAGAGGCTTGTAAGACCTTGAGCATATCCTCCGGTGAAGTTTCCATTGCAGATGGCAAATCAGAACTGCTTGAAGGTGAGTTGATTAGGATTGGCCTGCCTTCCGAACCCAACGCCTTCGTGCAAAGAGCAGTGCAAGCCGGCCACCCTAGGGACGGAAGTGCACATGTCTCGAAGCTTGTCGTAAATGCAATCAAAGCGAACTTCAGCGACCCGCCGGCGCAAACTGTCACCTCTCGTGCTGCTGCTCTTAAACATTGGACTGCACGAGCCAAGCAATTAGAGCATAAAGAGGAGGAGTTACACCGGAGTTTGCCGGGGCACCTTCGTTGTCTGCTGGAGGGCAAACGGTTGCTCTTGTGGCAAGAAATGCACGAAGCAGCTGGATCTCCAGATGACCAGCTAATCACCCACATGTGTGATGGATTTAAGTTGTCTGGTTGGTTATCGCAGGGAGGGCTTTTCCCTCCGAAGGTTAGGCCACCCTCCTTTTCGGTTTCCACCCTTAGTTGCTTAGCAAAAGGTCTGAATCAGTCGACGATTGCGAAAATGCGTGTCCGGCAGGATGAAGACTTGGAAAAGGCAACTTGGCAGGAAACTGAGAAGGAACTGCAAAAGGGTTGGATTTTTGCTGACACAAAAAGTTGCATAGAGCTTTGCGCTCTGGCCCGCAGATTTGGAATCAGACAGCTTGACAAAGTGCGTGTCATAGACGATGCCAGCATTTGTGGCATCAACGCTACCGTTGGCTTGAAGTATGGTTTCCAAATGCATTCCATTGATAGATATGCTGCGTGGATCTCCAAGGCGCTACGCATCAATGAGGGCAGACTGCCTGCCTGCAAAGGTCGTGTATACGACCTTAAGAGTGCGTACAAACAGTTTGGAATCCATCCTACAGACAGGGAGCTTTTCAGATTTGCAGTTAACAAACCAGGAGAGGCGGAGCCCATGATTATGGGAGCAAACTCCTTACCGTTCGGTGCGGTGGGAAGTGTTGCTGCTTTCCTCCGTATCTCGTTGAGCATCTGGCTGATAGGAGTGAGGCTGTTCAGTATCTTCTGGACCGCTTTTTTCGATGACTACGGAGTCACGACTCGCGATGAGCTTGTTGCCAACACAGACTCTTGCATATGTGCCATTTTTGATCTTCTTGGAGTTGAATTTGCTCGGGAGGGCAAAAAGGCACCACCGTTCTCACGAGACTTTAAACTGCTTGGAGTCAGAGTCGATTTGAATGATGCACCTCGGGGGATTGTGCGAATCGGCAACACTGCCGAGCGTCGCGAAGAACTGAACGTGTTCATCGAAGACATCTTGCAAGCCAATTGTCTCGACCTTAAGACCGCTGAAAGGCTCCGAGGCAGGTTGGTGTTTTTCGAGGGGTTTGTTTTCGGGCGAATGTCGAATTCGGCCATCCGAACTGTGGATCGAGCGGCCAGGGCGGGACTCACTTCGAAGAGGCTGCCCGAGGATGTTAGAAAGAGCCTCGTTGTCATTCGCGAGAGGCTGAGGGTGGCTGAGCCTGTGACCATCGCTACCAAAAACCATCACTCTTGGCTTATCTTCACAGATGGAGCCTGCGAAGGCGAGAAGAAGCTAGGATCCATTGGAGGAGTGATCGTGGGCTTGAGTGGCCATCCGATATCCTTCTTCAGTGAGCAAGTCCCACAGGATATCATGAAGATCTTGTTGAGCAACTCGCAGAATCCCATTTTCGAACTTGAACTTCTGCCGGTCCTAGTTGCTTATAGGCTCTGGGGCCAGTGGTGCAGATTTTCTCAAGCCGTTTTTTACTTGGATAATGAAGGTGCTCGCCATTCGATAATAGCCGCGGGAGGAGGCGCCGATCTCGCTCGTGTGATTATCGATGGCATCCTCTCGAAGGAAACTTCCCTTCAAATCCACGCATGGTACGCCCGTGTACCTACGCATAGCAACATTGCAGACTCCCCGAGCAGAGGTGAGTACGAAGGTCTCTTGAACATTGGATGCTCAAGGCTTCGCGTCGACTGGGATGCGGTGGCACGGCAGTGTTTTCCATTGGGGTGACTCAGACTGCCAGCACCTTGCCCCAGCTGCGAAAAGATGAGTCCGATTGCAGAGAGTCTTCATGTTTACTTTTTATATTGGAAATAGTGGATTGTTGAATTCATACTTTTTGATATTCAACTTTCACATATTCCTTTGAAGTTTTCACGGTGCTTCGGAAATAAGGTCGAACTCCTCTAACAAGGATGAAACCTTTATTTCCAAAAGCAAATTTCGTTTGAACGAAATTAGTGAAAACTTTTACTTTGAAATTTTTCCTGCTGTTCGGCATGACTCTTCTTTTGAGTGCATGACGATCATAGCCTGAGGTGTTGTACGATGTCTTTGTTGCCGTGCATGCATCCTCAAGCTTTTCGAGCAGGAAAATTTTTGTCCCGCCCTCCCACCCTTGGGCAAGTGCCCACCCAGTCGGGGAGAGTGGGCCTATCCCTGAGCCTATGACTCAGACTGCCAGCACCTTGCCCCAGCTGCGAAAAGATGAGTCCGATTGCAGAGAGTCTTCATGTTTACTTTTTATATTGGAAAATGCTTACCTGCAAGGACCCATTGGCCCAAAGACTGACATCAAGAACCCGAGCATCCTTCCATCAGTTCACGGGCTGATCCAGCTCAGGATCTCACGATAGATAGGGAGGACTTCCTCAAGCATCTGGGCTTGCACATGGTTCGTGGTGGTGTTTGCATCATAGATCTTCCGCGAGCTTAAAAAAGGAGGAGGAGTCACGAACGGTGTCGATAGTTGCGGAAGCCATCGGTTCCAACTCGCGCCGACTTGTTCCCGCCGCCTCCCATCCGATACCAAAGCGGAGAGTCATGGGGCCAGGTCAAGCTGAGCTCAGTGACGTTGAGACCAGTGAGGTTGCTGAGGAAGGTCCTGACCTTTGTCGGGGAGCTCCTCAAGCCTGCAGCCTGTACAACGATTGGTTTCGGTCCACCGACCGCTTCAATGATGCTGGCCAGGGAGTCGTAGCAAAGCTGGTACTTCGCCAGCTGAACGCTTTCATCGAGTCGCGCGTACACGGATGGTATGACCCACTCAAGGTGCTCCTACATAGGTTTTCGGGGGGGTGTTCGAACCCCAAGTTCGGGAACACAGTGTTCCGAACTTCGAGTTCAGGGCCCCGAACACAGTGTTCAATGCCCTAAACTTCGAGTTCGAACACCATAGTTGTCTCCGAACTTCTAGTTCGAACACCAAGTTCAATTTCCAGTTGAACTCCAAGTGAACATTGGAACTTCCAGTTTAACTCCAGTTTGAACACTTGGAGGCCGGTGTTCGAACCCGGAGTTCGAACACTGGTTGAACTCTGGGTTCGAAACTGGCTTTCGAACACCAGTATTTGAATTTGAGGTTCGAACTTTTCTTTTCTTCGCAAAAAGCCTCCATAAAGCGAATTCGTGTGGCTTCTCTTCTTTTGTGTTATTAAAAGCGTCATAGACCAGTGTTCGAACACCAGTGTTCGAACTCGAGGTTCGAACACTGGTGTTCGAATCTAGGGTTCGAACACTAGTGTTTGAACTCTGGGTTCGAACACTGGTGTTCGAACTCGAGGTTCGAACATTAGTGTTCGAACCTGGAGTTCGAACACTGGTGTTCGAACTCTGGGTTCGAACACCAGTGTTTGAACTCGAGGGTTCGAACACCAGTGTTTGAACTCGGGGTTCAAACACTGCTGAATGTTCCTTCTCTCTTTTTCTTTTCCTTCGCAAAAAGCCCCTATAAAGCGATGTCGTGTGGCTTCTCTTCTTTTGTGTTCGTAAAAGCGTTTTATAGACCAGTGTTCGAACAGCAGTGTTCGAACTCAAGGTTCGAACACTGGTGTTCGAATCTAAGGTTCGAACACTAGTGACTCACTAGTGTTTGAACTCCGGGTTCGAACACTGGTGTTCGAACTCGAGGTTCGAACATTAGTGTTCGAACCTGTGGTTCGAACACAGTGTTTGAACTCGAGGGTTCGAACACCAGTGTTTGAACTCGGGGTTCAAACACTGGTGAATGTTCCTTCTCTCTTTTCTTTTTCTTCGCAAAAAACCCCCATAAAGCGATTTCGTGCGGCTTCTCTTCTTTTGTGTTCGTAAAAGCGTTTTATAGACCAGTGCTCGAACCCGGAAATCGAACACCAGTGTTCGTACTCGAGGTTCGAACACGGGTGTTCGAACCTGGGGTTCAAACACCAGTGTTCGAACTCGGAGTTTGAACACTGTGTTCGAACCCGGAGTTCAACTCCGGTTCCAGGTGTTCGAACTTGGGGTTCAACCCTAAGTTCTAGTGTTATGTTCTCCGCCCCCCCCCCCCTCCGGGCCCTCCCAAGTGTTCGAACCCAGGGTTCCGCAACACTGCAAAAACCTATGCTCAGGTGCTCTACCAGGAATCCTATGGTGAACTTGGAACCCTAGTAAAAATCATAATTTTTTCTGTTCCTTTGGACTATAATAAGCAAAAAGTAAAAATTATTTCCAAGTACCCTTAAGAGAATCGGTGCTGGAAGTGGGGCTTGGACAAGTAGGTTTTGTCACGGCTGACTTGCGAAGCGCAGCGTGCTGTCGTCTTGAATAAGACAGTGCTGTTCAGCTTCGCGAAGATTGTGCGGTGCACATGGCGAAGCACCTGCTCATTGGTCGCTGCAGTCTTCCCATCAAAGTGCGTCCCCTGGATCTCGGGATCTGTAAGCCCAAACTCGGGCCCTGACATGATGTCATGCATCACGGTGCCTACCTGAGGGTGATCCTGCACACATCTTTTCAGGGCTGTGGACATGGATCTTGGGGTCGACCACAACATGATGGTGGGCCGAGGCTCGGTTTGATCGCTGATGGTCACGATCGTGTGCTCGTTCCGCGGGTCGTCCGTGTGCAAGAGGATGCCCGCGCTCCTCTGAACGGCGAAGCCACTCATCCTCAAGGTCTCAAACATTTCAAAGAACTCAGGGCTGTTGAAATACGACACCTTCAACGTGAAGACCATGTGCCCGCGGGGCTCCAAGTGTGACAGTGCCAGCTTGGCGACAACCTCGGGCCCCACGTGTGTGTGCCAATGACAGCCGTGGACACAATCATCGCAAATCTGGAGGACAAGGAGGACAAGTCTGCCACGTCCTGGTACATGTGGACGTACGTGCCCTCTGGAATCATGGCCCGCATACCAGTAGAGGGATCCAGACCATGGACCTTGCTGATGCCACGTGCCCGCAGCTGCAATCCCGTGAGGCCTGTGCCACAGCCGAAATCTAGGACATGGGACAGAACTTCCGGGAAGTCTTTGAGGAGGGAGGCTGCCGAGAAAGCCACATGTGCTGGGCCCTGCCACCGGACTCCGTTGTACATCTCATTGTATTTGCACGCATGCTCATTGTAGATGGGAACGGAGTCCCCTCGCTCACGGCCAGCCCGGCGCACTTCCTCGATGAAGTCCTGCTTGGTGCTGGTCATGGCAGGGGAGTTGGCCGTGCCTGGCTTCGTAGGCTTCGCTGCATGTAAAAACATGATGACTACTTGAGCCTACCAAGGACTGCCCAGGACTGGCTCATCGGAGCATCGCACGGTTTTTGGGAGACAACCCGGGTGCCGAGGGCGAGGCCAAAGAAAACCGTGTAATTTATATGACACATTCCCCTCACTACTCTTCTTATTCCTCTTTCTCTTGTCTTACTAGATTCTGGCCATTACTGCGATTGTGTATCTAACCCGTGCAAAGGGCATCTAAGTCCCAACCGGGTGGCCATTGGTGTATCCCAGGACCTTTCCTCCACCCTGCAGGTTGCACACCGCCTTGAGAGCCACCAAGCGTGAAGACGCAAAGAGCACAGGTCTGGAGGTTTGTAGATGTTTAGGTTCAAAGTCATTCGGTCATTTGCAAAACTCTACATGACACTTAGGACCTCCACTAAGAGTTAACTCTTAATTACCGAAAATAGAAACATAAGGGAAGCAAAGGGTTAAGGGTAGCCAAGTCCCAAGGAGAAATTCTTATCACGATTGAAAGGTTTTGACTTTGAGGGGCTCCATGTCCGTGCTTCAGGTTTCACTCAGAGCTCAAGCTTTGAGAGCTAATTGGAGAGGCTTTAAAAACACCACAGGCTACACGACTGAAGCTGTCGGGGCAAGTTGAGGATGCGGAGGGACAGAAGAAAGGACGGGAGTTCCCGAGAGTTCTGGTGGCAGGCGCCTGAACTTGCGCGGCGCCAAGATTGCTGCAGAGCAAGATGACGAGCGTCTGGAAAGCCTTCGCCATGGCTAATATAATCTACTTGGGCCACAAGCTTCGCAGCGCAAGTTGTCTGCTTCAAATGGATTGCGCAACAAGAATGCTCAACAGCTTTGGCGCAGACAAAGGAAACTAAGTTCATGGTAAGTCCCACACCACGCAACTAACACAACGGCTACAGCATGCGAGTGAAGCAGATCTCCGAGTCCAGACCCCAAAAACACACAGCGGACGACCTTACGCAAAGTGATTCCTGCTTCACAGACGGTCGCCAAGCTTGCCGCTTGCACTCATTCCAATGCTGGAAAACGAATGGGAACCAGCGAATAGCATAGTCATTTTTTTTGGGCGTGGGCGGGCCTCAAAGACAGCAGGTTGCTGCACTCGGTCCCGGTAAGAACTACAATAATGCCAAGAACAAAATCAACTGTACAAACAAAAGACGATGCATAACAGGTGAGACAGGCCGCGACTAGCAGACTTAGCCGGCAGACGTCGTTCGGCAAGACATGCCCAAAACCTAGCAACCACCGCTCAGATGCCCCGCTTCCCAGTCGTACTGAGTTGCGCAATGGCACATAAATTGCCCAGCGTCCAAGGGGGCGGGCAAAATAACATAACCTTCCCGTCCATTTTGTGCACTTGGCTCGCAAGGGCAAGACAGAGAGGCGCTTGGTGTAGAGGAATGCGCCCAAGCACCTAAACAGAAGCGGGGAGCGTGACGCAGTGGCGAGTGCAAGATTCGAGCCCAGCTTCCCAACAATGTGGGCCTCGCAAGGGCAGATACACTGATTTTCGCACAGTGACAACCGGCCAGGCAGCACTGGACAGGCCACGCTGGACAATCAGCAGCGTGCAGTGCGCCACGCGTTCCAAGCCCAGCTTCCCACACGTGGGTCTCGCAAGGGCAAGCACATAAATAGAAGACAATTGGCCCGAAAGCATCATCAGCGAAGATTGTGGGGTTATATGATAGATCCAGTGTATAGTATCGTAAAGTCACAGAATCAAGAGTCATAGAGTCCATGAGTCATGAGTCATAAAGTCATAGAGTTGCAGTGAGATAGCGTGATAGTGTCGTAGTGAGATAGAGTCACTGTATAGGATCGTAAAGTCACAGAGTCAAGAGTCGTAAAGTCACAGAGTCAAGAGTCATAGAGTCCATGAGTCATGAGCCATAAAGTCATAGAGTTCTAGTGAGATAGCGTCATAGAGTCGTAGTGAGATAGAGTCACGGAGTCATGGAGTCATCTATGTATCGATGTAGTTCACTCTATGCTCTATGTGTGGGAACGCTTAATCGAGATACGCATAGCGTAAGGGCTCATAGCCTGACCCGGACCTCGAAATGCCGATACAGTCAAGAGTCATAGAGTCCATGAGTCGTGAGTCATAAAGTCATAGAGTTACAGTGAGATAACGTCATAGAGTCATAGTGAGATAAAGTCACGTTGCTTGCTCGCTCTTTCGCAAGACAGCGTCGAAGCAAGCAAGCCACGGCCCAAAGCAGCGGTTGCACAGTACCTTCTGCAAAGCGACAATCCGGAAGGCGATGTGCAACCTGGCTGAGGGCCAATTCATTTTCCTTCCTCTCGGCCTGCACGAAGTGGGACACCAGCACTGAAGAGGCGGCCTGAGGAGGTGCCGAGAGAGGTCATCCCAGGGATTACGGTTGCACAGTACCTTCTGCAAAGCGACAATCCGGAAGGCGATGTGCAACCTGGCTGAGGGCCAATTCATTTTCCTTCCTCTCGGCCTGCACGAAGTGGGACACCAGCACTGAAGAGGCGGCCTGAGGAGGTGCCGGGAGAGGTCATCCCAGGGATTACGGTGGTCCGGAGCCTCGTGAAAACGGCTGATTGTAGTTGCAAAGGTTCATCGGGATCCCCGAGCCTCCATAGCACGCATTATACCAACCCAGGGTATAGTATCATGGAAGAAGAAACATAGCGGCAACCGACAAGCATCCCCAAACGGAAGTCGCAACAGTGGTCTCTGAAAGGAGTAGGGAATGAGGGTCAAATGACAACAGGCCAGCGTATGTTTCTTAGCCGATCCAACAGACTCCAGGGGAACGCCACAGGCTTATGGGTCCTTATTTCGTTTCTATCCACACCGGATAATCCACGAGGGTTTAGTAGGACTAATGCAGGGATCACGGTGGTCCAGAGCCTCCTCTAGAAAGATTGATTCTAGCTGCAGACATTCATCGAGAGCCCCAGGCTTCGGTGACACCCTGTGTATCAACCCAAGGTATACTATCTCAGAAGAAGAAACCCGGCGGCATCTGGCAAACATTCCCAAGCGGCAGTCACAACACAGGTCTCTCAAAGGATGATTGGGGATTTAAGATCTATCCTATACCACAAACGGGTCCACCTCGCTGAGCTGCTGCGCGACTCGTGGCACCGAGAGTCCATCAGCGGAAGGCAGTGCAGCCATTAGGGATTTGGAAAGACACCGTTCCGAAGTGAAACACCTTACTACACTAGGAAACCCGCCAGATGCCGCAAAGTATGTAACGTGCCAAGCAATGGAGGAGCTCCTGCGTCTCGGTGAGCCTTTGTCTGCTCACAGGATGTCGCGGCCAGGAGGAGAACGAAACGACTTGGAGATGAACCGAGGCATTGGGAATCACTACGCTTCCGCCGCACCAATGTACCAATGCGAGCACTTGAAGTTGCCGTTGATGGTTCGCCCATCATAGTTCTCGCTCGGCAGCCTTCGGTTGTCAATCGGCCTGAGACGTCCACGGTACCTCACGACTTCATGGTGCAATCCCGCACATCGGCTGGATCTGTTGACGCATCCATAGTCTTGATGTTCACGTCTGCTTGATGTTGGGCTGGATTTGTTGACGCATCCATAGTCTTGATGTTCACATCCGCTCGATGATGCAACGGCAACTGCAACATGTCCACGCTTGCTTCATAAATGCACGCTTCGTGCAATGCTTTGTCTGTGTAGCACACACACACACACCCATACAACTGGTTCGGGGGAGTTCGGAGGATCAAGTGAGACCACAGAAGCCTTCGATTTGACTTTGATCTATGCAGAACAACAGACCTTACACTGCATCACGAAGCATTTCGGAGTCGGGCTGGGGCTGGAGAGCCAGCGCGGGAGGAACCTGGACCTAGACTAGGCTACTCTTCCCAGGCGACCCTCCCCGGCCTTCGTCGTCACGTACCCGGCTTTCCGAGTAACTTCTGAAGCTGCTCATGAAGGTTGCCAGCCTAGAAACAACAAGCAAGCGATCTTCTTGCTATGGCGGCCCATCCATGCTCGCTCTTTCGCAAGACAACTTCGAAGCAAGCAAGCAACGGCCCAAAGCAGCGGTTGCACAGTACCTTCTGCAAAGCGACAATCCAGAAGGCGATGTGCAACCTGGCTGAGGGCCAATTCATTTTCCTTCCCAAGCGACCGTCTCGGCCTGGACCAAGTGGGAGACCAGCATCGGAGAGGCGGCCTGGTGAGGTGCTGGGAGAGGTCATACAGGGGTTACTGCGGTTCGGAGCCTCGTGAAAACAGCTGATTGTAGTTGCAAAGGTTCATCGGGAGCCCCGAGCCTCCATAGTACGCATTATACCAACCCAGGGTATATTATCATGGAAGAAGAAATATAGCGGCAACCGACAAACATCCCCAAACGGAAGTCGCAACAGTGGTCTCTGAAAGGAGTAGGGAATGAGGGTCAAATGACAACAGGCCAGCGTATGTTTCTTAGCCGATCCAACAGACTCCAGGGGAACGCCACAGGCTTATGGGTCCTTATTTCGTGTCTATCCACACCGGATAATCCACGAGGGCCTAGTAGGACTAATGCAGGGATCACGGTGGTCCAGAGCCTCCTCTAGAAAGATTGATTCTAGCTGCAGACATTCATCGAGAGCCCCAGGCTTCGGTGACACCCTGTGTATCAACCCAAGGTATACTATCTCAGAAGAATAAACCCGGCGGCATCTGGCAAACATTCCCAAGCGGCAGTCACAACACAGGTCTCTCAAAGGATGATTAGGGATTTAAGATCTATCATATACCACAAACGGGTCCACCTCGCTGAGCCGCTGCGCGACTCGTGGCGCCGGGAGTCCCGCAGCGGAAGGCAGTGCAGCCATTAGGGATTTGGAAAGACACAGTTCCGAAATGAAACACCCTACTTCACTAGGAAACCCGCCAGATGCCGCAAAGTATTTAACCGGCCAAGCAATCGAGGAGCTCC